CTTTTTGCGAATACAGACTAACACGGCTGTTCCTCTGAAACCTGTCCTTATTTTTACAGAGTGGCACTATATTTGCCCTTTTCCAGTCTCCTGGAATCTCTCCCATCTTCCATGACTTTCCAAAGATAACTGCTAATGGCTCAGATATCTCCTCAGTCAGCTCCATGAGTATTCTACAATGTATTTCATCAGGCCCTGGTGATTTGAAGGCATCTAATTTGTCTAAGAAATTTTTAACTTGTTCTTTTCCTATTTTAGCCTCTAATCCTACCTCATTTTCACTGGCATTCACTATGTTAAACATCCAATCACCACCAGCCTTCTTGGTGAAAACCAAAACAGAGAAGTCATTAAGCACCTCTGCCATTTCTACATTTTCTATTATTTTTCCCCCCTCATTGTGTAATGGACCTACCCTGTCCTTGGTCTTTCTCTTGCTTCTAATGTGTTTGTAGAATGTTTTCTTGTTACCTTTTATGTCTCTAGCTAGTTTGATCTCGCTTTGTGCCTTGGCCTTTCTTATTTTCTCCCTACAAACTTGCGTTTTTTATTTATATTCATCCTTTGTAATTTGACCTAGTTTCCACTTTTTGTAGGACTCTTTTAGGATTTTTAGATCATTGAAAATTTCCTGATTAAGCCAGGGTGGTCTCTTGACATACTTTCTGTCAAGGCTGATTCCCCACTCTGGCACTTTGAGTGCAGAAGGTGGGAGCCTGCAAGGATTCTAACAATTAATACTGGCTACTCCAGGCTTGTATTAAACTCCGAAGGTTACAGCTTTTCTCTGACCTTGGATAGGTAGATGCTGCCACCACCCAAGTTCAAAAACCCCTTTGAGACACCAGGAAGGCACACTTGGGAATTCCTTCATGTGGGGTAAAAGCTGAGAAAGAAAAACAAAGGAAATCAGCTGTTGCCACCAGCTAATTAAACAAAGTGCACAAACCTCTTAGGACACAAAAATCCAATCCTGTTCTTTAAAAAGGTACATTTTATTAAAACAAAGAAAATACATCTGGAAACTCAGGCTATTGCTAGATTTAAAAAGAGTAAATGCAAGAATTAAGCATTAAAAATAGCTCTCTTGAGGTCCAGCTTAAAGATTAGAAGCAAAACAAAAGCACCTGGAGTTAGCACAGAGGAATCCACAAACCATAAAAAATAAAAGGAATAAACCTAATTGTGTCTTCCTAGACATTTCCTGATCTACTTACTTATCTGGGGTTTTAAATGAATAGTTTCTAGGTATGATCCTGATGATTTTTTCATACCTGGCCCAAGCTTCTAACAGCATAGTTCTGCCCTGTCCCCTCGCTCCCAGAGAACAACCACAGACAGACAAAAGGGGAGTCTTGTTTCAGTTTTAAAAAGTTCTAGCCTTCCTATTGGCTCTCCTGGACATGAGCCCATTCACTTCTTTTAACACTTTACAGGTAAAGCAAGTAGAGAACAGCTACTAAGAGGGATTTTATAGCTAACTGGCTAGCTGGGTCCATAAGAAGGACCTACCCCCCACCTTTCATTTATCACGCTTCCTATCTTTCCTATGCAGCGGGATAGTTTGCTCTTGTGCCCTTAATAATCTCTCTTAGAAAAATCGCCAACTGTCTTCAATTGTTTTTCCCCTTAGACTTGCTTCCCAAGGGATCTTACCTACCAACTCCCTGAGATTGCTAAAGTCTGCCTTCTTGAAATCCATTGTCTTCATTTTGCTGTTTTCCCTCCTACCATTCCTTAAAATCATGAACTCTACCATTTCGTGATCACTTTCACCCAAACTGCCTTCCACTTTCATATTCTCAACTAGTTCCTCCCTATTTGTCAAAATCAAATCTAAAACAGCCTCTCCCCTAGTAGCTTTCTCCACCTTCTGAAATAAAAAATTGTCTCCAATACATTCCAAGAAATTGTTGGATAATCTGTACCTGCTGTTTTATTTTCCCAACAGATGTCTGAGTAGTTGAAGTCCCCCAGCATCACTGAGTCCTGTGCTTTAGATGATTTTGTTAGTTGTTTAAAAAAGCCTCATTCACTTCTTCTTCCAGGTTAGGTGGTCTGTAGTAGACCCCTAGCATGACATCACCCTTGTTTTTTACCCCTTTTATCCTTACCCAGAGACTTTCAACAAGTCTGTTTCCTATTTCCATCTCAACCTCAGTCCAAGTGTATACATTTTTAATATATAAGGCAACACCTCCTCCCTTTTTTCTCTGCCTCTCCTTCTTGAGCAAGCTGTACCCTTCTATGCCAATGTTCCAGTCATGCGTATTATCCCATCAAGTCTCTGTGATGCCAACTATGTCATAGTTGTGTTTTATTTACTCGAATTTTGAGTTCTCCCTGCTTATTCCCCATACTTCTTGCATTAGTATACAGACATCTAATTTGATTCTCCCCCCCACCCCCAGTTCTGTCTTGTCTCGCCTTTATCCCTGCTATAACAGCCCATGCTCCCCCCCGATTCCGACCCTTCTCCCAGGTCTCCATGTTTTTGACTTACCTGTGGTCACCTGCCCCCTTCGAACCTAGTTTAAAGCCCTCCTCATTAGGTTAGCCAGTCAGTATCCAGATATGCTCTTCCCCTTCCTCACTAGGTGGACCCCATCTCTGCTTAGCAGTCCTTCTTCGTAGAACAGCATCTCATGGTCAAGGAAGCCAAAACCCTCCTGGTGACACCATCTTCACAGCCAGGCATTAACCTCCAGGATGCATCTGTCTCTGCCTGGGCCCCTACCCTTGACCGAAAGGATAGAAGAGAAAGCCATGTGTACCCCAGCTCCTTCACCCTTACTCCCAGATCCCTGTAGTCACTTCTGATCTGCTTATTCCCCTTCCTGTACATAAGATATGTTGGTACTTATATTAAAAATTCTTTGGGCAGGGACAGTCTTTTTGTTCTGTGTTTGTAGAGCACCTTGCACAGAGCCATGGTCCATGACTGGGGTGCCTTGGTGCTATGATAATACAAATAATAATAAATGCACCTTTATACCAGTATAACTACAACCACTATAGGGGGGTTGTGCCACTCTAACTCTACTGGTATTGTTAAAACAGTACAACTTGTGTGTTAGACAAAGCCTAACATACCTGGCTCGCCATTGCGCTGAGCCTTATGTAGTTAGTGTAAAGTGTGGGGAAAAGAGATAATCAAAACAGAATGGTGATCTACACCCACTTTGAATTCACTCTGCACTGGTGTGAATGATCACACAAGGTGCAGGGCAGTGGAAAATCAGGCCCTATTTTAGACCCATCAGGGGATTCAGATACTATGCACTTGTCTAATTCTATAGTCTGTGCTCTAGATTTTTAAACCTAGGGGTAGTTAAGAGCCTAACTCCCTTTGACATTCAATGGGAGTTAGGCACCTAACTGCCACATGTACCTTTGAAAATCACCCCATAGGTGCCTGAATTTAAATCCACATTTGGCCACCCAAATGGAAATGGTCTGATTTTAAAGATGGTGAACATTTGTAGCTTCCACTGACTGCACTGGAAGCAGGAGGTGCTTGGTGCTTCTCAAAATCAGGTCATTTCAATTTAGGGGCAAAATTTTACTTTCCATGGGACTTGTACTCCTAAATCACTTACGGACCAGATTCTCAACAGTACTGTTAGGTGACTAACTCCCATCAAAATCAATGGGAGTTAGGCATCTAAATACCTTTGATGATCTGGGCCTTTGGTACTTTTGACAATCCTGCCCTATCTAACTATGTATTTGGTAGTCTAAATTTAGGTGCCCAAGTTTGAAAACTTCAGTCTGTGTTTTTACCAGCCCATGGTCCTATAGAGCATAGTCCATTGATAGCAGTGGGAGCTGTTATGTTCAGAATTGTGTTTGGGGGAGGTGGGGTGTTTTCTTGAAGATGATTGGTATGGGAGTCAGAACAGTGTCTCTGATGGAAATGTCATGCTCTGAGTAGGAGATGTACCACTCTAAAGAGAAAGCTTCCTTTGGAAAATTAATCCGCAAAAAGGTCAGATGCCTGGATCTAAAAACATTAAATTTTCAGGAAAACTAAAAAGTCTGGTTTTTGGAGCTGGAACAGGCCCTTGGCTACTGCCTCACAGCACTAGAATATATACTTCAGCATTACTAGATAAGAGCAATTAAGTACACTCATATGTTTGCCATGACATTGCTAAGACTGTATGTTAATCATATGACCATAAAAGTCATCAGAACAAAATCTGGGGGGAGGCGAAAAGAATGCAAACCACAGACATGACATTTAATTACTTTTTGCTTATGAGAACAAAAGAGAGAGATGGCAGAAATGCTGGAGAAACAATCACAGCTGTGTTGATTAAACAAATTATTCCAGTGCCCTAATCCTGCAACTCCCTGCAACATGCATAACAGGAAGTGGAAGTTTGCTGTGTTCTAAGGCAAGTATGAAGATAGGTTATGGATGGATGCACTCATGGTTAAGCATTTGGTGCCATTCTCCAGACTGAGCAGGAATAAGTATTAACCCTCTTGCACATCTGCTCCCTGAACATGGGATGTCTAGGGCTGTGTGTGAGGAGACACAGGCATAAATGTGGGTTGTGCCACAGTGCTCATTATGCAGGATCAGACTGGCTGCCATTATCCTGCTGTGACGTTCCCCTGGTGTTATCTGGATTGGTGACCTGCTAGGTCACTCCAATCCTCAACTCTGGGAGCCAGCCTTACCCTGCTCTGCTGTGAGAACCCCCACTCCTGGCCTGTTCACGGACAGCCTCTAGTATGTAAATTGCTCCCAGCTACATGAGTGAGCACTTGTGGCCAGCCGCTGCTTGGATTGTGCAACCGAATGACACTAGCCAATATCTCTGGTCCCAGACACCACCCTAGGAACCTCCATCTTGCAGTGTCCCGTTATGCCTGCTGGACGCTGCAAGCTTATATGAGTTCATCAATTTAACAAAGAAATTGATACATACCAGGCCTGTTATCCTAAGGGGAGTCTCCGATACGCTTCCAACCAAATACACTGCTTCAGGTAGAATAAACAAATTTATTAACTACAAAACATAGATTTTAAGTGATCATAAGTCAAAGCACAAGTCAGATTTGGTCAAATGAAATAAAAGCAAAGCACATTCTAAGCTGATCTTAACACTTTCAGTGCCCTTACAAATTTAGATACTTCTCACCACAGGCTGGCTGGTTGCCCTTCAGCCAGGCTCTCCCCTTTGATCAGCGCTTCAGTCACTTGGTGGTAGATGGAGGTGGAAGAGAGAGAGAGCATGGCAAATGTCTCTCCCTTTTATCATGTCCTTTCCTCCCTCTTGGTTTTGCCCCCACCCTTCAGAGTCAGGTGAGCATTACCTCATTGTAGTCCCAAACTGATCAAGCGAAGGGGAGTGACTCACTCGAGAGTCCAACAGATCCTTTGTTGCTGCCTAGGCCAGTGTCCTTTGTTCCTGTGAGGCTGGGCTGAGTTTGTCCCATACATGTCCTGATGAGGTGTGAACTGCCCCTCTGCTCCTGGAGAGTTTTGCCTGGGCTTGTTTTAAGCAGTAAGGACACATTTTCAGCCTCATAACTACATACATGAAATTACAACCTATAACATTACTATAACAACAATGCTCAGTGCATCATGAGCCTTCCAAAGACACCCAATATGACAAACTTTGAATTGGATACCACACAATCATATTATGAGGATGCACAGGGGGGTGCAGGGTGTTCCCCCAACGTACAGAGCATCACACCTGCTTATCACATTTTACCTAGTATTTATACGCCACACTGTGTCCCTATGCAGAGATTAAATTAAGAAGCCAATGGAAGAACACTGCTCTGACCCCTCTGCTAAAAACAAAGAGACCAAGCTCCCCCCGATTCATTGGCTGTTGCAGTGGGAGCTCCCCCTGCTGTTTCAGTTTGTTTTAACTAGGGCTGGTCAAAAAATTTCCATCTAAAATCCAGCAAGCAAAAATTGGAGTTTTCAGTTAAAACAAACATTTTTGCAAAAAGGGGCAGTGTTCCTTAAACATATTTGCTTTTTTGGGGCAGAAAACTGAACCCCTCCCCATACCAAACTTTTTTTGGCAAACCAATGCCTTTTTTGTGGCCAAATTTTTCAGTTGCCAAACATAAAATAAAATAATATTTTGACAAAAATCTACATTTTCCATGGGGGACACTCCCCCCCGCATTTTCTGACCCATTCTAGTTTTAATCATTCCACCAGTGTTGGACAAGAACAAATCTTGACAGATCAACTTTCCTTTATTTCTAAAGCATGCATGCTGTAGAAGATGGGGTATTTGCTTTTTCCATGTGTTTCTTTTCCAACAATAAAAAAAAATCCCTGAAAAGGAATTTAGAACATAAGAACAGTCATACTAGGTCACACCAAAGGTCAATCTAGCCCAGTATCCTATCTTCCGACAGTAGCCAATGCCAGATGCCCAAGAGGGAATGGATAGAACAGGGCAATATCGAGCTATCCATCCCCTGTCGTCCTCTCCCAGCTTCTGGAAGTCAGAGGTTCAGAACACTAAGAGCATGAAGTGGCATCCCTGACCATCTTGGCTAATAGCTATTGATGGACCTATTGTCCATGAACATTTCTAAATCTTGTTTGAACCCAGTTATAGCTTTGGCCTTCACAACATTCCCTGACCACGAATTCCACAGGTTGATTGTGCATTGTGTGAAGTACTTCCTGTTGTTTGTTTTATATCAGCTATTAATTTCATTGGGTGACACTTGGTTCTTGTGTTATGAGAAGGAGTAAATAACACTTTTTTATTCCCTTTCTCCATACCAGTCTTGATTTTATAGACCCCATCATATCCCTCCTTAGTCGTCTCTTTTTTAAACTGAAAAATCCCAATCTTTTTAATCTCTCCTAATATGGAAGCTATACCATGCCTCTAATCGTTTTTGTTGCCCTTCTCGGTACCTTTTCTAATTCTAATATGTCTTTTGTGAGATGGGGCAACTAGAACTCCATGCAGTATTAAAGGTGTGGGCGTACTATGGATTTATATAGTGGCATTATGATACTTTGTCTTATTATCAATCCCTTTCCTAACGGTGCCTAACATTCTGCTAGCTTTTTTGATTGCAGATGCTTTCAGAGAACTATCCACAACGACTCCAAGATCTCTTTTTTGTTCAGTAACAACTAATTTAGACTCCATCATTTTGTATGCATAGTTGGGATTATGTTTTCCAACTCGCATTACTTTGCATTTATCAACATTGAATTTCATCTGCCATTTTGTTTCCCAGTCACCCAGTTTTGTGAGATTCCTTCGTAACTCTTTGCAATCTGCTTTGGACTCAACTATATTGAGTAGTTTTGTATCATCAGCAAATTTTGCCACCTCTCTGTTTACCCCCCTTTCCAGATCATTTATGAATATGTTGAACAGCACTGGTTCCAGTACAGACCCCTGGGGGACACCATTCTTTACCTCTCTCCATTATGAAAACCATTTATTCCTACCTTTTGTTTCCTATCTTTTAGTCAGTTACGGATCCATGAGAGGACCTTCCCTCTTATCCCATGAGTGCTTACTTTGTTTAAGAGCCTTTGGTGAGGGACTGTGTCAAAGGTTTTCTGAAAGTTCAAGTACACAATATCCCTCTTGTCCACATGTTTATTGACCCCCTCAAAGAATTCTAGTAGATTGGCAAGGCATGATTTCCCTTTACAAAAATCGGGTTGACTCTTTTCTAACAAATTGTGTTAATCTATGTTTAATCCACACGCCTCCTGGCTATGGTGTTCTGTCCCATCTAGTGGCACCGAGACCAGAGAGATTAATGAGTTTGCTCTACAGCCTTAGCTAACAGACAGTTGGCTTTTAGCTCATGCGATAGAGGCTCATGTACTAAGTTCCAGAGGTCCCTGCTTCGATCCCGCTTGTCGACGACTGGGGTCTGTCAGTGTTACATATGTATGTGATAATTCTGTTCTTTACTATAGTTTGAACCAATATACCTGGTACTGAAGTCAGGTTTACTGGGCTATAATTGTCAGGATTGCTTCTGGAGCCTTTTTAAAAAATGAGTGTCACCTTAGCTATCCTCCAGCCATCTGGTACAGAAGCTGATTTAAGTGATAGGTTACATTAGTAGTTCTGCAATTTCACATTTGAGTTCCTTCAGAACTTTTGGGCAAATACCATCTGGTCCTGGTGACTTATTAATGCTTAATTTATCATTTTTTTCCAAAACCTCCTCCATTGACACCTCAATCTGGGATTGTTCCTCAGATTCGTCATCTGAAAAAAATGGCTCAGGTGTGGGAATCTCCCTCACATTCTCTGCAGTGAAGACCAATGCACAGATTTCATTTAGCTTCTCTGCAATGACCTTATCTTCCTTGAGTGCTCCTTTAGCACCTCAATTGTCCAGGGGCCCCACTGATTGTTCAGCAGGCTTCCTGCTTCTGATGTACTTGAAAATTTTATTGCTGATAGTTTTTGAGTCTTTTGCTAGTTGCTCTTTAAACTTTTTCTTGTCCTGCCTAACTGGACCTTCGCACATGATTTACAATTTAACATGTCTTTTGTTTCATCTTCTTATTGTTAAACTAACCAACCTAGCCCCCACCACACTCGTGTGAAGAAGTAACAAGGCACAATTTCTATATGAATACTTATATATATTAATTATTTCTTTTTGGTTTCTCACAAAAAAAGTATTGATTTTGATAATTATTCTGAAATCGTTGAAGTAGTCTGCACACAAATTGCTTTCAGTTTTTCTCCACAGCAAGTAGAATTTTCCTCATATCATTTTCATGTCAGGCCCTTATATTACAAAGTGTTGTAGGGCTGAGGCCGGTCAGAATTAGGGGCACTAGGCACCTCTCGGTAGCTCTGGGCTCTTTGCAGGATTGAGACTTTCCAAGACAGTGGGTGCACTGGAGCCATGATCCAGCTCCCACTAATGTCAATGGAAAGCCTCACCAACATCAATGGAGGTTGGATCAAGCACTTACATTTTTTTTTTTTTGAGACAGAGATTCCTGGTTCTGGTTCTGACTCAGCAAAGTCATACATAACCTTAAATACATCATTAAACCCCAATGACTTCAGTGGGACTTAAGTACGTGCTTAAGTAAGTCCCTTACGTGAAATACTTTACCCAACAAGGATGAATTTTAGGCACATGCCAGGAGTTAAGTATGAACTTAGGTGCTTTGCTCAACAGGGACCACTAATGGTATTCCCCATTGTATATGGGATCTTTCTGAAATCCTTACTACTGCTAATATCAGAAGAAGCTTTTTAAGGTCACAACTGGAATCAGCAGAAGATTTGCCATTGATTTCAGTGGGTGTAGAATCAGTCTATCTCAACGCTGCCTATAGTTTTCTTCTATCCTTGCATTCTAGAAGAGATGTTCAGAGCTTAGATGACCGGCATTGTTTCTGAAGCTAGTGTTCGTGAAATGCGGTTCGTATGTTCAAATGGGACAAATCCATCCCTGTGTTTGATTTGATCTCATTACTGGAGTTACAACAGGAACATTTTTGGCCCAGTTTCCTGTTTCCATTGTTTGTGTATTTGTTTGAGATCCCAATAGGTGGCAAATGAAATGAGTGTTTCCAAAATATGCCATGCAAAATGCTTCAAGTTTACTTACAGTACTAACAAATATATATACACACAGTGCTTCTATGTTAATTAAAGCAGTACGTCATGAACTAAAACCAGTTCCCAACTCAGCTGCTCTACCATGTTTTGATAGTGGTGGAATATTTTATTTATTCCGAAGTCATGATGTTTTCTGTGAAGTGAATACCTTGAGAATACAGTGCAGTAATTACATGAGTAATGTACAGTGCTTTGTCAAATACAGTACAAGGCATGAACCCAAGTTAGTACCTCCTGGTAATATAATGGAACACAATGTTGCTCAACGACACATGAACAGCAAAAGAACCCAGAAGAATGGTTTGCTTGTCAGGATGGCCATCGAGATAAAATGGTAATTCAGTAATTTTGGAAAAGGGGCATTCTTGCTCTAGTGCAAAAGAATCTTGCAATTTATCTATATAAATTAGTAATGTGGGAAGATTCAGTGACTCATAGCACTATGATATAACAATAGACATAATAATACTTGGCAAATCCATAGCACTTTTCATTTGAGGAACGTCAAGTGCTTTACAATAATTGATTGTCACAACATCCCTGTGAAGTATATATTACTATCCCCATTTTACAGATGCGCAGACTCAGGGACCGAGATATTTAGCTTGGGATTTTAAAAGTGGAACCTAATGCAGTTATGAGTCAAATTCTCATTCAAATTCCTGAATCCCTTAAACTCCTGCTCAAAATCTTAGGTTATGTCATTTGACCAATGTCACATAGTGAATCTATGGCAGACCAGGCAATGGACCCCCAGATTCCTGATCTACTGTTTCCATCTCTAACCAAACCAATAATCTACATTGCCTCCCATGAGCACCAAACAATTTAGAAAAAGAGCTGACATGGAAAGCGAATCCTACATCTGACCTAGGAATAAGAGAGTAGTAAAAAACAAAACAAAACAACCCTCCCCTCCCCAAACAACAACAAGAGAATTCAGCCCTTAGAGTAACAATCAAGATCAAAATATACAGGAAAGACAGGTGCCTAGGTGCTTTTGATAATCCCATTATAGGTTCCTTACACCCCTTTGGAAATGCCTACTTTTTTAACCCAGTGTTTCAGCCGGGAACGTATGTAAACTTGGAGCTGAGATGGTGTTTCCACAGGTCAGTTTGAATAAAATGCACTTTTATTGGAGGGGGGGAGAAATAATGGAACCTTGTGTTGTGATGGGGCAGAGGTAGTGCCTAACCAATGGGCTCTTAACTATTCTGGGGTGGCCTCTCTCTCCACCTTATGTGAATTTCCAGCCTGGTCCCGAGGAAATTGTTGTCAAAACCCAAGCACTTCCGCTCACAGTTTTAGTTTTGATAATTCAACATTTTCCGAAGAAAAACATTTTTTTGAAAAATTCCGGACCAGCTTTACTCACACAGCTGCTGTATTCCTCTTCCCAACTGCTGTTTCCCTCTGTCTATAGCTTGCCTCTGCCTGGGAGTTCACAGAGAATGCTGTGCAGCATTCCTAATCACTCTGCACTGAGTGCAACTCAGGACACATTCCACTCATTACATGTGCTCTCTGGTCTTTTGCCTTTCTCTGGGATTATTACGGGGAGACGGCAATGCTGGGATGCTTTATTTATTCTGTTCAAAGCAAGTGTTACATTTCGAACACGCAAACAACTCTACTCTGAACCAGGGGAGGATTCTTCATCGCTGAAAGAAATGATGCAGTATTTCAAAACTGAAATAAATGCTCTGATAGAGATGAATATACTCTTGGCTACATTACTACAGTGTGAAACGAAGGTTCTCACTCTCTTTCCCTTCTAAAATTCTTCCCCAGGGGTAGAGGAATATCAGACTCACACTGTGACCTTGCAATGACAGAATTTTAATGTGCTAGTGGTGCACCAGAAGTAATGCAGCAGCTTCTCTCCTCCCCGTGTTGCTAGGTACCGTAGACATTTATGGAACTCTGCTTCTCATTGTCAAGTTTGTCCTTACCTAGGGTCAACAGCAACTAACCCACGATTTATTTATCAAACCGTCAGTGCCACTTGGAGTGAAGGACCGTGCTTGCAAACAGAGAGTGGCAGTGAAGGAGTTAAAAAGGCACTGCACTCCGAAAAATAAAACGCAGTAATGACAGAAGCTGATACGGCCTTTTAAAAATGGTAACTTAGAAATAGCCAGTGGTATTTGTATTTCAAATGCACTACATACTTCTAAGGCATTTACCAAATTATTCCAGATTTCCTCTGAGTGCCGGTATTTTAACTCTGAGTTTTGCATAGGAAGGGTTTTTGTTTGCAAGCATTAGTTCAGAATTATTGCAATAATATATCTGCACCTTATTTGACAATGGGAATGATTCCTGTGGAGTCTGGTAAACCAGGGAAAATTTCCCTTCTGCATCGTGGCTGCTCCCTGGCTCTATATATTTCCTATCTCCTCCATTTGAGGAAAATATCCTTCCTCCCTCCCCTCTAGTTACAGAGCTTTTTCTTGAAGCATCTTTGGATTAATATATTATGACAACACTTACCCGCAGCTTCAGGATCTTCTCATGGCTTCTCCCCCGGCCCCAGGTCAGAATATTACAAATCACCAGCCAAAAGGCGTACATCTCGGGTTGGGGGATAGGAAGATTTTGACAGGAGGCATAGAGGAAGGCACTTATGTTGTGGGTGGGTGATTTTATTGAAATTTGACATGGTCCTGTGCTCAGACTTTCAAGGTCTCCGCTAAAAGCCAGGCTGTCATTTGATTTGTTGCTTTCTGCACCTCCCCCATTATAATGGTATGTATCTAGAGCAGGGGTTTTCATACTTCATTGTACTGAGACCCCCTTCTGACAACAAAAATTACTACAAGACCCCAGGAAGGGGGACGGAAGCCTGAGCCCACCCGAGCCCCGCTGCCCCAGGTGGGGGGTCCAAAGCCTGAACCCCACCACCCTGGGCAGAGGGACAAAAGCTCAAGGGCTTCCGCCCAGGCAGGGGGCCTGTAACCTAAACCTTGGGCTTTGGCCCCAGGCCCCAGCAAGTCTAAGTCAGCCCAGATGTTCAGAAGTCGGCCCATAATGTACTTGGCACATTACGTGATGGATTTCTGTGATACTGTAACTGCTCCCCTCAGTGCTACAAGGTAGGTAATGTGATTAATACAATAGTGATTAATTATTAATCAACATACATTAATATAAGCACTTGAAGAAATGGCCTTTGTTGCTTGAAACCTTTGGGTATGACAATGCATTGCACATGCTGAGCCACTGAAAGGTGTCATAGGGCCCGATTCTGACCGACTCATGGCACTGAGCACCCTCAGCTTTGTTGGAGAATCCTTAAAACCTCCAGGATTTGCTCAGCTCCTTGACAAATCAGGCTCATATTGGGGACCAAAGAGTCTCATCTTAGTGACATGCTCTTACACCAGTGCAACTTCACAGTAGCCTCAATGCACGTTATTACTCTTGATTTCCACCAGCAGAAGAAGAAATTCAGACTTGATATTAGAATTCAGAACATGGTGGAAACTCTCCAGTTGGAATATACGTACCCATGCAAGATGCACCTCCATTACAGTAAAGGTCAGTTCAGCTCGCACGCCTGAGATATTTTTATGAGCTTCCAATCTTTAGTGTTGAACTCTTTTAAAAATATTGCCTCTGTGAAAAAAACGGTAGTAAAATGGGATGTATAATCTACAGAGGAGCAGATCCAGCTTTTTCTTAAATCATGCTGATACGCATATGAAATAACTGCTCAGCTGAGGTAGAAATTAATCCTCATACCAGTTATTTCGTTACAAGTAAACCTTGCTTTTTAATAACTGTCTTCTTACTCCTTGCCTGCTACTGGCAACAACTTATTAGCCTCCTGCAGGCTTCTTCAAACAATGTCTTACTGTTTAAAACCATAGCCCGGTGGGCTGGCTCTCTCTGAATGCAGGGTTTTTAGCTTGGAGAACAAACCTCTTGCTAAACCATTACTCCTGTGATTTTTTTTTTATATGGGACTAGAATTACAGCTTCCCAAGCAGTCAGCCCATCATGCTCACTATTTACACCTTCCCAGCCAACTCCTAGTCGGCCATTCTCCTCCCATTCACATGCTAGTAGGATTTAAAGCCCTGGAATGAATTCTGTTCTTGTTTGTGCTGGATATGAATCTAGAGGTATTGCAGTGAAGCCCATGGGTTACGTCAGCATGAGATCAGAACTGGCCCCTGGTACGGCATGTCTACTAACATGAGACGTGAAAATCATCAACATAACACAGGACTGGAAGGGACTTCCCAGGCGATCCAGTCCAGTCCCCTGCTACTGCAGGAAACCCCATCATATTATCTCGTTCATAAATTTAGCAACTTCCATCTTAAAGCCAGTTAGGTTTCTTGCCCCAACTTCTCTTATTGGGAGGCCATTCCAGAACCTCACTCCTCTGATGGTGAGAAACCTTCTTCTAATTTCCAGCCTGAATGTACTCATGGCTGGTTGACAGCCCTTTGTTCTTATGCCAATGTTGATTTTAGGTGCTTCTCCCTCCCTGAGGTTTACCCCACTGAGCATGAGGGCTGAAACTCAGCCACACTGCAAACAGCCCACACGCAAGGATCACTACAAAACTTACATAGTGGGATTGTGGTGGAAACTGCATGTGCGGCTGCATACCCTGTGTGCAATGGAAGGGGTCTCCATGCTGGCCCCAAATAGGCTGCTGCAAAGGGAGATTTATGGGCAGGCCAAGAAAGGGGCCATAGGACATTGACTATCCAGATCCCACAACCCTAATTCCCCTGTAGGAGAAGCAGCACTTACTACCAGCACATGACTGAAATAATGGCCCCGGAGGTACGGCAGTGCAACTCAGGAATGTGTCTGCGAATGGTGGGAATGGATATCAACCTTTGCCAACCCTACCCAGTCCCCAGTTGTCCCCATTCAGGCTCAGTTATGCAATCCTTAGTGCCAAATGGCAAGCACTTACTCACATGAGTAGCCCCAGTGACTTTACTGTGACTGCTTGTCAGAGTCAGCACCCGCCAACGTAAACGCTGCACTAGTCTCCTGCACCAAGCCCAGCTCCTCAGGGGTTGTTAGAGAGGGCAGAATGTCACACAAGACAGTGGGGGTGGCTTCAATCATGGGATGAGAGGAGTTCGTGCCATTTTCAATGCACAAAAATAAAAGCACTGAAAGGTTAGTGACACATAAGGCAGACAGAGAAAGGCACCTGCTGTAAAAATCTTTGTGATGTATCAAGCAAGAAATGGTACAATACCCAGAGGGATTCTCCCAAACAGTAGGGAGCTCCTGATGGCCTGGCTTATATGGCATGTTTCAAAGCACAAAGAGACGTTCAGTCATGCAAATCCGGTTGATCTGTAAATGTGGAATTAAGCACTCACTTTCCTGGCATTTATTTTTATATCTTCTTGGCCTGGGGTGAAAACGCTGTGTAGTAGAAGGGCACTGCACTGTTTTTTGCCAGTCTGTACACTCAAAAGCACTGTGTGTAGGGCAGCCTCCAGAAGGGTCTATTTGTCAATAACATTTGCTGCTACTGAAGTCAACAAGGCAAGATTTCAGTGTCACAATCCCCAGCCCTTAATCTTTTTGCTGCTGTAAAAAGCATGCCTCAAGGAAAGCAAAGTAATTCAGGCTTTGAGCCTCTTCTTCAATTCACTCCACAATGTGGAGAGAGTACTCAGACCTGAGCAATGCTGAAAGATCCAGGATTCAGAGCACCACAAAAAATAATAATGCAAATAAAGACAAAGGCAACTTTTGTTGTAGCACTGCCAAAGTGCTTCAAAAACATCAAGTAAGCCTAACAAAACCCCTCTGAGGTAGATGGTATTAATCCCATTTTATAGATGGGGAAACTAAGATACAGGAAGGCAAAGTGATGCCCCCCAAGATCAGAAAAGGCAATGCCTTAAATAGAAGTTGAAGCCAAGGGTTCTAACTATTTATCCCCTGTTCTGACAACCCTCCCTACCTATATACTAGTCTTCTAAAATTCATAAGGACAGCACCAGCTCCTCCTATCATTTGGATTAAGAGGATAGCTCATTATTCTTTTAATTATAAGGCATCACTTATATTTGAGTTGTGTCAAGCTATACAACCTAGAAAAGTGTTTGCTCTTTGTATGTTAACGGAACAGCTATATACCAGAGAGAAAGCAAGCAACCATAAACATTTTTATAGGTAGTTGCTAGAGAAGCTAAAGCAACAGAATAAAGATCATTATATCTGCACTTGTGATTAACACAGGGATTCTCAAACTGGGGGTCGGGACCCCTCAGGGGGTCGTGAGGTCATTACATGGCGGGGGGTCATGAGCTGTCAACCTCCATCCCAAACGCTTCCAGCATTTATAATGGTGTTAAATATATTTGAAAGGGTGTTTAATTTATTAGGGGGATTGCACTCAGAGGCTTGCAATGTGAAAGGGGTCACCAGTAAAAAAAGTTTGAGACCCACTGGGTTAACAAATAAGAACATAAGAACGGCCATACTGAGTCAGACCAAAGTTCCATCTAGCCCAGTATCCTGTTTTCCGACAGTGACCAATGCCAGGTGCTCCAGAGGGAATGAACAGAACAGGTAATCATCTAATAATCCATCCTCTGTTACTCATTCCCAACTTCTGGCAAACAGAGGCTAGGGACACCATCCCTGCCCATCCTGGCTAACAGCCACTGATGGATCTGTCCTCCAGGAACTTATCTAGTTCTTTTTTTGGAACCCTGTTGTTATAGTCTTGGCCTTCACAACGTCCTCTGGTAAAGAGTTCCACAAGCTGACTGTGCATTGTGTGACGAAATACTTCCTTTTGTTTGTTTCAAACCTGCTGCCTATTGATTTCATTTGGTGACCCCTAGTTTTGTGTTATGAGAAGGAGTAAATAACACTTTATTATTTACTTTCTCTACACCAGTCATGATTGTATAGACCTCTATCATATCCCCCCTTTGTCGTCTCTTTTTTAAGCTGAAAAGTCCCAAACTTATTAATCTTTCCTCATATAGAAGCTGTTTCATAGCTCTAATAATTTTAGGTGCCCTTTTCTGAACCTTTTCCAATTCCAATATATCTTTTTTGAGATGGGGTGATGCAGTTATGATATCACTTGTCATAAACGAACCACAAAAAACCCCCTGTGCATGGCAATATCTCATCACTGTACAGATTGCTGGCAGCATTATATTACATTTAATTTTAAGCTAATACAGATGGCAACAGAAATATTAATTATTAATATAAAGGGTCTGATTCTCCAGTTTTACATTGCAGTAACTATCTACAGAAGGCCTGACTAGCTGACCATAATGGTCCCTTCTGGCCTTAAAACGCTATTAATCTACAAATCATTTAGTGAATTAGGCCCCAAAAATCAGTGGGTGGGATTTAGGCAGCCACTGAACTTCCAAGGGATTTGGGGACCTAACTCCTTTAGGCTCCTTGGCAAATCCCAGCCAACCCGAAAACAACCACTTTCCCCCTTCCATTTACTTCAAACTGAGTAAAATGAGGGGCTGGTGGCATTTGTCTATCTCCGGCATAGACAAGTGCCAGGAAATTTTCTCCACACCTCTCTGCCAAGGCCCTTCAGACCTACTATTCCAGTCGTGGCGTCTCCTGAGCAGCAGCTGCAAAAGCCGAGACCAACCTCATTTTCACTTGTCACACATGCAGCAAGCCAGTGTATGAGCTACCGAAAGAATGCACCCCTCTTAATACAGACATTGATATCACCAGGCACCGGTGCAGGGCTGCTTCTGCATGCTGAAAATTAAGAAGTTCAGGTGATAAAAAAAGGGTGAGTTGAAAGCCATAAACTAAACCAAAGTGCAAAGTGCTAACATATGGGAGAGTCACAGTTATGAGTGGTGCTGAGACCCTCCTGCTTCAGTGGATGCCACAAGTATTCTAGAGGTGATGCTCTTGAGGTTTGGGTGAAGATTAAGGGGCAGATCCACTCAAAATCAGTGACATTCTATTAAAATCAATGGAACTATACTGATCCCCGATTGTGTACGTCTTTAGTGCCCTATTTATCCTCAGAGCAGAACTTGACTATGAGGAAACAGAACTGGGGCACTAAAGAAGAAATAAAAGAGACCAAGGCAATGGGATAGAGGAAATGTTGCTCCTCAGGGCCAGTGGGTTCTGATTTCCTGCCACTTATTATGTACAGATTGGGAAATGGATGGTAGGGGAGAAAGCTCATGTTCTGAAGCTCTTGGAACAGAAAAACAACAACAATCCTGTAGACTGGCCAAGGCTTCCATCAGCACACCCCAAGTAAAGGGTCACAGCAATTAAGGCTAATTCCTACCATATTACAAATGGTGATGCAAATGACATATCTGCCCCAATTCTCCTCTCAGTTATATCGGTGAAATTCAGCATCAATGCACTCAAGTCAGTTGAGAGGCTGAAGTCAACTTGAGTCACTATGGAGTACGTGAGCTGTAAACTCATCAGCAGAGGCACCTAAAAAGGGCAGCTTGAACTCATTCATCTGCGTGTGTGTGTGTGTGTGTGTCTTCCATGGTGACTTGGGGGTATAGCAGAAATATCCTATCTTGCCTTCTCCTGCTAGTTGTTTTTCCTGATCCAATTCCCTCTAGGTACATAAGTCATACGCTTTTTGTGAACTCATTCAGTATCAAACTGATAGAAGTTACACTAGTACCTCTATGGGCCAATTTACACCCCACCTGTCATTTACATCACCATAGGATTTGGCCCAGAGATTTCATAGGGTTGCACCCACTTTCGCATAGTCTGGGGTAAGCCCTCAATATATATCCCTACCAGACAGCTATCCAGTAGGGAGGAAGGCTAGGGAGAATAAACTTTTATATTTTACATACAGAATCCTAATCTGCAATATTTAAATCATCTAATATTTTTGGCCTGGAGTTTCTCCATTTCAAAGCCATTTCATTTGTGTGCCAGTAAAGAGCACCATCTGTCTTGCAGAGCACTTTTAATTCTGATCAATCTGGTGTTCGTTTAACCAATCCCAATTTCAGAGGACTGAGGTTAGCAAGATGAAGTGGAGAAATTTCAGATGTTCCATGGACTGTTCTTGAATCAGCCATAAAAGCAACCGTGTGTTTCCGTTTTTTAAATTAATTTACATACTGATAAATGAATCATCCCAACCATCATAAATATTTTCTGAGAGCTTTTGGCTTTGAGCATAAACACTTGATGTGACTTGGTACTCTGCTGTGTCCTTATTTCAGAATTTTAAATAATCATAAATAAGAAAACCTGCTACTCTTTGGTATACTGTATCTGCTTAGCACAAAGCTCTGACTCTTAAGTCTTACAAAAAATAATTGCACTTCTTTCTTCCATAGAGTCCTGTTAGTCCCAAGACTTTCAGCTGAAGGATTCTTTATTGTATTCGAACCTTGTCCCATAGGAGTTGCTGCTGTTGCTCAATTTGTGGAGTACCTTGGAGATTTCATTTGGTCCACAACAGAAAACGCCAACAGTTTTCCTATTAAGAATGAAAAGTGAATCACCACATGCCAGATAAATTGTGAATCGTGTCTAAAGGCACACAGAGCTGGATTCTAATCTCACATGCCACAGAATTACACTATTGTCATATATTTTGAGGCCAGAAAGGACCATTAGTTCATTTAATCTGACTTCTTTTATATCAGAGGCCATAGAATTTCACCCAGTTATCCCTGTATTGAATGCAATAACTGGTGTTTGATCAAAGCACATCTTCCAGAAAGGCATCCTGTCTTGATCTGAAGACATCAAGAGATCAAGAATCCACCACTCCCACTGATTAATCACCTTCACTCTTACAAATTTGTGTCACTTCAATGACTTCATTAGTGTAATTTTTCATTTATACCACCGTGAGATCACAATCAAGTCTATGATGATTCAATACGCAAATTAAAAGGAAGCACTACCAGATCATGCATTACTTCTAGCAGCAGCAGAATGCCTCTGTTGCTACAATGTTCTTGATTGAAACATTCAGATTGAAATTCTGCCCTCCCGCCATCACACAATCATAGAAGATTAGGGTTGGAAGGGACCTCAGGAGGTCATCTAGTCCAAGCCCCTGCTCAAAGCAGGACCAATCCCCAACTAAATCATCCCAGCCAGGGCTTTGTCAAGACGGGCCTTAAAAACCTCTAAAGATGGAGAGTCCACCACCTCCCTAGGTAACGCATTCCAGTGCTTCACCACCCTCCTAGTGAAACAGTGTTTCCTAATATCCAACCTAGAGCTCCCCCACTGCAACTTGAGACCATTGCTTCTTGTTCTGTCATCTACTACCACTGAGAACAGCCGAGCTCCATCCCCTTTGGAACCCCACTTCAGGTAATTGAAGGCTGCTATCAAATCCCCCTCACTCACTCTTCTCTTCTGCAGACTAAATAACCTCAGTTCCCTCAGCCTCCCGTCTTAAGTCATGAGCCCCAGCCCCCTAATCATTTTCGGTGCCCTCCACTGGACTCTCTCCAACCTGTCCACATCCCTTCTGTAGTGGGGGGACCAAAACTGGACGCAATGCTCCAGGTGTGGCCTCACCAGTGCCGAATAGAGGGGAATAATCACTTCCCGCAATTTGCTGGGCCTGATGAAATTCATCCTAGGAAATTTAAGGAACTAGCTGAAGCAATCTCGGAACCGTTAGCAATGATCTTTGAGAACTCATGGAGGACGGGTGAAGTCCAAGAAGACTGGAGAAGGGAAAACATAGTACACAACTTTAAAAAGGGGAACAGAGTATGTGGGAAATTATATACCAGTCAGCCTAGCTTTGATACTTGGAAAGATACTGCAACAAATTAATAAACAATCAATCTGAAAGCACCTGCCAAACCAACCTAATTTCCTTCTTTGACAGGGTTACTGGCCAGGTGGTTAAGAGGAAGCAGTAGCTGTGGTATATCTTGATTTTAATAAGGCTTTTGACACAGTCCCACATGATATTCTCTTAAGCAAATTAGAACAATATAGTCTAGATGAAATTATTATAAAGTGGGTGCACCACTGGTTGAAAGACCTCCTCAAAGAGGAATTATCAGTGATTTGCTGTCTAACTTAGAGGGCATATCTAGTGGGGTCCTGCAGAGGAGGTCAGTCCTGAGTCCAGTACTATTCAATATTTTCATTAATTACTGGGACAACAGAGAACAGAGTATGCTTATAAAATTTGCAGATGACACCTACCTGGGACGGTTGCAAGCACTTTGCAGGACAGGAATAGAATTCTAAATGACCTTGACAAATTGGAGAATTTGTCTGAATTCAACAAAGCAAAGTACTTCATGTAGCAAGGAAAAATCAGATGCACAAATGGAAAACAACTGGCTAGATGGTAGTACTGTTGAAAAGGATTTGGGGGTTATAGCAGCTCAGAAATTGAACATGACTCAACAATTTGATGCAGCTGCGAAAAAGGTTAATAAAATTCTGGGGTGTATTAACAGGAGTGTTATATGTAAGACAGGGGAGGTAACGGCCCCACTCTATTTAGCTCTGGCGAGGCCTCAGTTTGAGTTCTGCATCCAGTTCTGGCAACCACTCTTTAGGAAATACGTAGACAAAGTGAAGAGTCCAGAGGAGAGCACCAAAAATGATAAAAGGTTTCCTGATAACAGTCTTCAAATATGTTAAGGGATCGTCTAAAGAGGAGGGTAATAAATTGTTCTCCATGTCCATTGAAGGTAGAACAAGAAGTAATGGGCTTAATCTGCAGCAAGGGAGATTTAGGTTAGCCATTAGGGAAAACTTGCTAACTCTAATGGTAGTTAAATTTTGGACTAGGCCTCAAAGGGAGGTTGTGGCATCTCCATCATGGGAGGTTTTTAAGAACAAGTTTGACCAACACCTGTCAGAGGCAGTCTAGGTTTACTTGGTCCTGTCTCAGTGCAGGGGGCTGGACTAGATGACTTCCCAGGGTCCCTTCCAGCCTTACATTTGTATGATTCTATGATTATTTAAAATGAAAAAGAAAAAGCTGAAATGAGCATTTACCAATTTTTAAGAAGCACATGCAGAGATGCGGGTTCTTATTATACATTCATTACTGAAGACCTAGAATGTACAGTTACACCCATTACCATTTATCCACAATACTAGTGCACACCATAGCAGCGCCAAGGAACCATTCGGCCAGATGATGTGAATATTAACGATAATCCGTGTTCTATGTTAGGAATTCATTATTCAAAAGGCACACGATTGTTAATGTAGTTGGATCAAATCCAGATCCCAGAGTCCTTACTCAATTCTTATGTAGAGTAAACTCCGACTGAAGTCAATGGCAGTTTTGTTCTAAGTGTCTCAGTTTCAGCATCCAAAAACTGAGGCACCCAAAATCAGTGGCCACTTTTGAAAATTAAGGCCTACGTATATTGCAGAGAATGACAGTGGCAGCTTACTGGTACATATAATCTATTTTAGTGTGCAGTTAAGTTCACGTCACAATTAACTGCATTATCCCCTAAACTGCACTGAAGGAAGTCTGCGCTGCTAGACAGAAAAAAAAAAGTATAGTCTAAGGGTACTGACAAACTTATGGAAAAATGTGTCTTTGAAAGAAGAAAATGTATCATATTAAGTCTTTGGCCCACACTTTCAAACTTAGGTATCTAAAGTTAGCCAGTTAAATCCATAATTCGGCCACCTGAATAACAGATGACACTGACTTTATACAATGAAGGGAAGCGAACATTAGCATTGCAAAAGTCAGGAAATGTCATCAAAAACATTGCGTGTGCAACCAAAATGATGGCCTTGTCCAGATGTGTTACAATACCATTTTTAATTCTATGGTCCCACATGGTTTACAATCTTTCCATACACATTCTGCACCCCCCACCCTCCTGCACTGTTGTGTATTTACACTGAATTCCATTGTCATAATGGTCCAGTGTTGCACTATTGACAAGGGGAGAAAAATAAGTGGCCTGATTTTTGGATGCATTGAGCAAATTATTGACCGCTGTCTTCAACAGGATCTGTTGGTGTTGAACACTTTTGAAGACCAGACAGTATGTGCTTTTGTGGATGAGGAGAAGGGCAAGTAAGCCTTGAATCTGAATTTTTATCTTATTGTGTATTTAATTGAAAGCCTTAATGTTATTAAACATTTGTATCCATTAGTTTAATTAAGTACAGCGAGGTACTTAATTAAACTCACTCTACGTACTTACATAACCGTAATCACCATAGTATCTCGGCCCCTCACAATCACTAACAGATTTTTATCCTGACAGCACTTCCATGAGTAGGAAGCATTTTACAACAGGAAACTGCGTCAAAGAGAGGTTAAGTGACTTGCCCAAGGTCACACAGGAGGTCTGTGGCTGAGCCAGCAATTGAATCCAGGGCTCTTAAGTCCCAGTCAAGTCAATGCCCTATCCACCAGACCATCCTTAACAGTAATACTTAGCACTGCTATAGAACTTTATACTTTCAAAGTGTTATGCAAATACTAATTCATCAATCCATACAACACCCCTCTGAGGCAAGTAGGCGGGTGAGCATTATTATTCCCATTTTACACATGGAGTCATTGAGAGAGAGGTGAGGTGACTGGCAATATAATAAGAGCCAGAATGAGGACTCGGGATTTTCTGATTCCAAACCATGCGTTACATTCCTTATAGATGATTCTCTTTTATAGCATGGAGAAAATGTGCCTTATCTTTACATACCTTCTTTCCCTACATGTTTTAATTTCTTCTGTCTAGCTCATTCTCAGCTTTATGTAAGAAGCATATTGCCATTTGGACCCAGCAAAATGTAAAAGCTATGATAATATCTCAGAAGTATATAGCGCATTTTTATCCTGAAGATAAATGAATCACAAAAAAGGGGACCACCCTTTCCCCAAATAGTTTGCACGAAAATCCTGAAAACTGGATGCATAACATACGCTCTGAACTGTCCCAATGCAAATACTGTAGATGTGGTATAAAATATCAACAGTAGATGGTGCACTTTTGCTCCTCTTAATTGAACTGAAAGAATCTGAACCTGATGCTGGATTGAATTAATCTGTTAACTGTGCGGAGAACTATTACATTCTAGCAGACCTCAGAAACTTAGACATGAGCTTTCCTATCTGGGAGTCAAGCAACCAAAACCAATGGTATGGCTGAACTGATGAGAGCATCCCTAGTTGCATGTTTGTTTACATAGGGCTTTTAGTAACCATAGCCAGAGCCACAGAATCACAGGAGGGGAAGGGAACTCAATGGGTTATCTAGTCCAGTCCCCGTACTTAGACACGTCTAAATATTATCTAGACTATCCCTGACTGGTGTTTGTCTAACCTGTTCTTTTTTACTAGAAATGTAAAATAAAAACTGGGAAATACTTTGGATGTCACCAAATAAAGACTGCAAACCAACCACGTGTGTGTCTGCAAACATGTCCAGAATCCTGAATGCCAATGCTAGACTTGTTTGGCTAAAAGAGGAATTGTTTGTCTTGCCCTTATTTAGTGGTGTGCATATTGCACCAGGGCCATTCGGAGGGAGTTACTGACAAATGGGAAGAAGTAGGAGAAGAAGCAACAAAAGGTCAGCGAGCTGAAAAATTGAATTATGGTGAAAGGTTAGGTTTCAGAGTAACAGCCGTGTTAGTCTGTATTCGCAAAAAGAAAAGGAGTACTCGTGGCACCTTAGAGACTAACCAATTTATTTGAGCATAAGCTTTCGTGAGCTACAGCTCACTTCATCAGATGTATGCATCCGATGAAGTGAGCTGTAGCTCATGAAAGCTTATGCTCAAATAAATTGGTTAGTCTCTAAGGTGCCACAAGTACTCCTTTTCTTTTGGTGAAAGGTTAAAGTCCCGATCTTGCACCTGGTAAGTTCTATGAAAGTTAATGGGATGCCTCATCTACACAGCGCATGTAACTAAAGTGTCTGCAGGATGGTGACCTTACAGAGCTAGTCTATAGACCTTAGCAAGGGGGTGATATGGGCTGAGGAAGGGCATAATAAGAGTCTACAAATAATGTAAAAGGTGTTCACAGTCAAGGACGCAGAAGCATTACTGAGGTTCTACAAGACATGTTGCTTAGAAATCAAGGTGATGGGCATCTTAGAGATACAAAGATGTAAGGGAAAGTGGTACCTGAGGATCTAACCAGGAGGGATGAGATGAAATGTAGAAAGGAAAAATCATGAAAAACGTCTTGAAAGAGATGTGCATTCGGGTGTGCAAGAGTCTCCCAAGAGAAATGATGGAAGCTCCCATTATTTTGGTCTTTTGAAAAATAGAATGGACAAAAGATTAAGAAAGAAATAAGAATGACACTTAAAGGGTTAACATTCCCCAAACTGTGCAGGAGGCTGTGACTACAGGACCAACCTAGCAGCAGATCTACCTCTCACACTCTCCCCATCTCCTTTGCCATGCCCCTATCTCTCCCCACCATAAAAAGCAGGACTGCCCAGAGCTCAGCCCCTGCAGAGCTGTTCTCCATGTTGCACAGGAAGTATACACCTCTACCTAGGCCCCAGTTCCTGCCTCCCCTCCTGCACGTCACTGAGTAGCAGTATTCATATATATTGGTTTGCATTACAGTAACTCCCTAACAGGGAGCATGGCTCCATTGTGCTAGGCACTTTGCTACTTTGGGGGAATAGCAAGATTAGTACCACAGTGTATAGATCAGATCTTAGGTCCTGACCCTAAGAGATATCACATACCAAGCGCTCACACTGAGATCAAATAAGATTTTCTGGGGCCCAGTCCTTCTCAGGATCTAATCCTCAGTAACCACAGCATCAAAGAGACTGGTTTAACAACTGGGTTAAATTAAATCCAGAAGAGGTGAGTCAATACTTTGATGTGTGTCTCATTTATTCTATATCTGACTTGTCTAGACCGTAAGCTCTTTCTCGTACAGTACTGATTACAGAGTCAGCTCTTAACAAACAATAAATAGCACTTGTAGCCCTCAAAGAAAATATATCTTCTGAATAAAGACATAACACAGTAGAATACGGCCAGAATACAGCATTTCTATTATTCGAACTGTAAATCATAAAAGTCACTGCAGAAAACTGGCATATGTTGCAAGATACTGATTATAGCAAAGGATTAAAACATGTACAATCTCTGTGTAGCAACACAGAAATATGATTTTTATTGCCTGGGCCACTGACTGGTTTAGTTGCGGGGGAAGATGAACGGCTCTGACTGCTCAAAGTGAAAGATTTTTTTTTACAGTCCATCTCTCAGCTGCAACACATTCAATAATATCAACATCAGTAGCTTGAATGTTACATGATAAGATAAACCCCGAAGTAATTTCCATACAAATATAGCTGTTTATTAAACATACACAATCCCCATCTCTCAAACTCTGGCAAAACCTATCAAGAGTGGTACTTACTGTCTGTTACACTTGGCTATTTCATCAAAAAGGAGTTTCCAACGAGGTCGTCCAATCAAAAGCCTCGAGTTCAGGACCTGGTATTTTTCACCAATTATCTTCTGTGAGAAACAATAAATTCAGTTGCTGTGTGTTTGTAAATTGTTACACATCATTCAGAGCTTGTATACTGGTCTGGTAAATGCCCTGGCTGATTTACCAAATAGCTGAAATATAAAAACTGAACTAAGTATCAAACCGTGTGACTTAGATTGCAGCCATTTCTATGCATCAATACCTCAGCTCCTTGCCTTTTGAATAACCATCTTCAGGCTTGTGTGCTATTTCTTATATAGCTAGTTATTAGTCTCCACATTATTTTTAAACCAATTTGTCAATTCATACATAGAGCAATAGTTATATTCTCATTACTCACTCCCTAGTTTGCCTTCACTGCTACCCTTTAAGGGACACTGTCCATATAGAAAAATCACATTTCTGTCTGAAGTATTTTTACCTACTATTGGTACAAGTAACACCTAAGCTAACTGGGGCTGAAAAAGTGAGAAGGGAAACCTTTAGAGGATGGTTTACCAGTTGCTTTGAACAGCCTCAGCAGCATCAAGCACCAAAGCTGCATCCTTGGAGTGAGCACAGGATTCTTTTAGCAATTCTAACCCGGTAAAATCCCAGCTGACCTCTCTTTATGAAGCCAAACCTGTTTCCACTGCATTGCATTACCGCTCCTTGTTTTACTGTCCTAATATAATGTAACATGTGGCTGGAGAAGAATTTTATCTGATCTGATTTTCTGCGTTCACCCCATAATCGAATGATCTAAACCATCTATTATACTAATACAAAAGTACATTCTAAGCTTGAACCGTTTTACATTGTTTTTTGTACCATGGCCGAAAGCAGTTTCTGGAAATAAAAATGAGCTTGATTCTCTTGTGTCCTGCATCTCGGGTCACTCATTTACACCAGTGCAGAGTGAGTAAAACGCGACACTATTCTGGTTTGGTAGCATTTTACACTCACTTTGGATTGGTGTCAACGACAGCACGAGTGCAGGGCAATGGAGACTTGCATCCAGTGCTCCCTTGAACTATCTGGAGTAACTGTTCAAATCTGGATTTATGCTAGTGTAACTAAAGACAAAATTTAGCCCTCATGGTATACACTTCTATACTTGATGCCACTTTTTCTACCAAACAGTCATAAAAAAGAAAAGTTTCAGAGTAGCAGCCGTGTTAGTCTGTATTCGCAAAAGAAAAGGAGTACTTGCATCCGATGAAGTGAGCTGTAGCTCATGAAAGCTTATGCTCAAATAAATCTGTTAGTCTCTAAGGTGCCACAAGTCCTCCTTTTCTTTTTTAAAAAAGAAAAGGAGTTCTAATACAAATTCAGTAGCTACTGGACACAAAATTTAAGAGTAAATATTCTAAACTGCATTTCAGTGATATTCAGCTTCATCTTGGATGTTCTACCTTGAACCTGGTCATTTCTTACCTGTTAATTAATAATATATTGGATTATCTCCATGCCAGCAGAGACATCCCATCCAGTTATTTGGAACTAGCACTGAATATTCGGAAGATTGTTCAGAATTGTTGCTAGCAGATTATTTAGCTGAAGCCCAGCAGCAAGCCCTCTATATTGGGGTAGTTCTCATCAGAACTATAAATTTTCTCTTGTCTTCATCTGCTAGAAAGGAGAGCTAAATCCAATGGACCTGATTCTTGACTGTCTTTCACCTTTTGTAGTAATTTAAGGCTTGATCCTATGCCAATCAAAGTTAACGGCAAAGCTCACATTCATTTAGAGTGTGAAGAAGCGGGCCCTTACATTTGTGCTACATCAGTGCAAAGTGGATGTAAAACGCTAACACCCAGGTCACCGCATCCCATGTATAAATGGCTACACAAGATTCCAGCCAGTGGGGAATAAATCCAACTCTCTAAACTGGACTACTGTGAACAGTTCAGTACATTTTCTGGCTGCATACTTTTAAAAGTTTAACTTCTTCAAACATTCGAGACAAAAACAAAACAAAAAGAAACCAATCGGGATTTTTAAAAATAGCCAGTTTCTCACAACGTGTTTGCTTTCAAAAGTTTGGTGCTAGAATTATTCCAGCCTGATTCTCAGTCCAGGAATGATGCAAGTTTCCCACAAAGCCCTGCCAACTGTCTAATCTGTGGCCTGGCCTGGAAAGACCTCTTTCCTAGAGAAGGGAGATATGGATCTCTGCCCGTGGATAATCAACTGAATGCTACCAGACTTTTCTTCTAGTATTGTGGGGCTGGACTTGCGATGCAGTCTTACTGAGACAATTAGCCTTTATTCCCTGCTTAAACCATCTGCAATCATTCCATGTCATGCTTAACTGGCAGTTTGTGTTGTCTACCACCATCAGATCTACTTAGGTTTACAAACAGCATTTAGCCACATACCTGTATCCCATCTGTTTGACTAAGGTACAGCTGGATGTTTATGTAGTCTGGGCGGTTTTCCTGCCAAAGCTGGGAAGACCAGAAAAACATCAAGTGAATTAATACGCCTCTTCTTATATAAGAATGCGGTTGCTCTTGTTCAGTACCCTGATTAAGCTTGATCTTCACAGCAGATACAGTGGACACTTTAATGAAAATGACACATTTACATATCTTTCTTTTACCCAGAAGCTTCTTTACATCCCAGGATACATGAACAAATTCTCCTAAAAAGACTTTAAAATAGTTTTAAAATCCACCTGATCTCTGTTTTGACAATTAGAGTTGACTTCCAATTTCCATAAACTCACCGACCCACCTCCTTCAGTCCGCTCACCAGATGAGCTGGGGTTTTACTTTTCTTCAAAGGAAAGGATGCACCCAGACTCCTTAGATGCATGTTCTTTTCCCTTCTAGCAAACTTCTTGACCATGCAAGGAGACTGTGCATCCCTGAAGAAAGGTCACATAACCCCGATTTCAGGGCCTGTCCCAACATCCTTGACTGTTTTAGAAAAAACAGTAAGTAAAATCCTGGCTCCACTGAAGGAAATGGCAAAACTTCCACTGACTTCGGTGGGGGGCAGGATTTCACCCCTGTTTTGTCTCACATGACACTTTGAACCAGTCCTTCCATGTACATCAACAACAAATTTCATCTGCCATTTTGCTGCACAATCACATAACTTAGTTTGGTCCATCTGAAATCCCAGCCTTCTCTAGTCATGTTTAATGGAAACACTTTTGTTACTAATCTAAATATTCAAACAGATGTGTTTATTGTCAGTATCCCTTTAAAACCAGCCCTGTGTCATCGTCCCCTTTACCTTGTTATGCAGCATACACAGCAAATCTGCAAACCAGCGAAAAGACTGGATTTCCCTGCACACCCAAATAAAGTAAAGTCTTCTGAGCTTGTAGCATTGCCAGTTATCACTATAAAATGAAAATGATGTGTTTGGGGAATTAATTAATGCTAATTAAGACACTTTATATTAATTGTGCAAATGTTAATTTCCATTTCCATTAAGTGAAGTTAGTTTTCCCCCCATCATACTGAAATGCCCAAATCAGTCTAAAATGATGGACTTAAATACTGAACCCATAACACAGAACAACATGCTATACGGATACTGTCTTTACAGCAGAACAGTATAAACTGCACACTGAATGCATATATGTCTTAAGGTAAGAATGTTGATTCATACATCATAACCAAGATATCTAAGTTATCTAAAAGCAAAGCTGCCTCTGCATTTCAAAAAGATAGTGTGGATTCTTTATTGCAATTATAAGGCAGAGTTCACAAACTCATTTCTTCCCAGAGGAGGTGATGCTGATGAATGCAAACTTCACAGAATGCAACTCCAAAGTAAAGTTAGGGGTGAATTCTGCATTCAGGTGCATGCAAGCATCAGATTATTTCAATTATTACTTCATATTTATATTGTGGTAGTGCACAGAGGCCTAAACAAGGTCAGAGCCCCATTGTGCTAGGCAAAGGTATAGTCCCCAAAGAGCTTCAGCGGATAGAGCATGTTCATGGACAACGTTTGGCATTTAGTTTAGAAAACATGACACTTGTGCCAGGTTTCCTAATGGCGATGGAGACAAAACATGATTTTAGTAAAAGAGGGACGATCACAATGAACCGGGCTAGAAAATAAACATGAAAAAAGATCCACTGATTAACAGATTTTTTAAAAAAGTCTGCATGATTTTTTCTCAGATCAGCCATGGCTGGTTTTATGTTATTGTTACTTACCTGTAATTTAGCCATTTAGGGGACAAAATCCTTCCCCTTAAAACTATTTACAGATTGTAAAGACCCACTTGGGACCATCACAGCTGCATTCTGGACTTCCAAAAATTCAGCAGTATATATGCTTATTAGGCCAAACGTCATGGCCGGGGGCAAGGTGTGGGATAATTGCATAGCTGCTCCACGTCTCCTACTGCACAACTTGACTTACAGTAGCTACTATGGTCCCATATACCAACTTTCTAATTGCTGATAACTGGACCCCCCTGCCCCGCCTCATTCCCCTAAGGCCCCATCCCTGCCCCACCTCTTCCTCCAGGCCCTGCCCTAATCCTTTTGCCCCCTGCTGCTCTCCTCCCTCTCCTTTCCTCACAGCTGGATCCTCTCCAGCTCCCCACGCCCGCCCAAGCTGGGCTCCCTCTGCTCTAGAGCTGCAGCCTGATGCGGAGCCTGCCTGTCTGCCCAGGAGATGCAGGTAGGAGGCAGTCCTGGCTGAGCAGGGGCTGGCACAGTCTGATGACCTGGTGCCTCCCTGCCTTGCCTGTGGTAACCAAACTTTTGGTGTCCCGTCTGTACATCTTACCAGACACTGCCAAGTCCCCTTTTCAACTGGATTTTCTGGTCGAAAACCGGGCACCCGCCAACCCTAACATCTGGGCCATTTTGCTAATGCATCTGTGTAACTGATGGACATGCCACCGTCCCTTTCCATATGCCTAAACCCTCCACTGCAGGCCTGCAGAGGAGCTGTGGAGCAAATTCTCCATGGCACACAGGGTGTGGGGACTCTGACCCCTTGTGTGAACTATCTATACCCTGCAGAGAGGTGCTGGCTGCCCTGGGCTTCATGCCTTGCGTGTCTGTAGTGGGAGTGTAGCATCCTTAATGTCCTGACACCAGCTGCTGCATGTACAATGCTGTCCTGCAGACAAATGTTATTTCTCCCTATTTGGCGTATCATTTGTGCTGGGAGAAACCAGAACCAAGGTAATGGTCTGATCATATGGGGTGAGATCACAAATACAGTATCTTGTGTACAGTATGTAAGCAATAAACTGTATTCATTTACTCCAGCGCATCATTCTGAAATGATAAAAGAAAATAAACGTGTCTCAGCATAAATGAACTGAAAGATATACAAGAGGATTCACTGGGGACCGCCTTTTATCAATTCAGACTTTTGACTTGAGCAAACACAGGCCAGTGGGAATGAGCTAAGTTGAATCAATGTGAGGTTGATCTGTCGTGTTTTGTGGCATGCATCATGCATGCACGTGAAATGAATGGCATGTCAAACATACAATGTTGGGTTTACCTCCAGTAAGCTGTGACATGATAAATGTGCAGTATTGTTCCACAGCTAAAGATGTGCGTACGACATGCCACGTCCGCTGATATGCACGTTACTGAATATTACTACTTGTAATTAATCATTAATGTATAGACACCTGACCTATGCCAAAAAGCTTCTGACTCTCTTTAAAAAAACAATCATGATTTATAATAAATAGGCAACATTTATTAGATACCTGAGTGGGATATATCTAGGCTGGGAGACCCCAGCTGCTCAGAAAATATCAAAATAAACAAAACCAAACACAAAACAAAAGACTGCATCCTCGTCCTGAAGGACACCCCGATATCCTCCACAGCTGCATGTCCTTAACAAAAAGGGCTTTGCCTTCCTACCCCTTCAAGTTTGGACACAAGAGTTACCGTTTTCACCCCGCCAATCTCAATTTTTATGAAGAGACAAAAAACAACAGTCAGCCTCTCCAGTGGACAAGTGCTCTGTATTGCTGATATCCTTACATATGAACAGCAAAACATCGCTTGCTGTTATTATTGCATAATATTGCAGTGCATGACACGCAAGGATATAGATATTCAGGCCTGTCTGTAAAGGCCTATACTCTAAGAATTTAGGTGTATTCCTATCACTTGGCTAGTTAGAGGTATAAAAGAAAGAATCAAAATCACTGTCTGCCAGTGTAAGGGCCTTCTCTTACTGTGACAGTCTGAGGCCCTGTTCTTAGGCTAAGGCCTTTGGCTAAGCGACAGAGGCAGCCATAAGCTGGGAAGTGAATGGTCACATCCTCACATTCTGAACTAGTCACATTGAAATAAGGTGCTATTGGGCTGTTAGGAATTTAATCCTGTCCTTATAGTGCCTATCACCTCCAGAGAAAGGGAAGTGCCTAGAAGCTGTAAAAGGAAATTGAGGTTGATAGTTTTCTGTCTGGTAAGAACTCACTTATCAATAGACACAGCTGGGAAACTCTTATGTCTTTACAGATGTAGTTGTGAAATCCTCACTTCTGTATTGTTTTGTCATTATAGTTCCCACTTTGCTATTGTTTATTGGCATGGTCTCTGTCTGGTTCTGTGATTGCTTCTGTCTGCTGTATAATTAATTTTGCTGGGTGTAAACTAATTAAGGTGGTGGGATATAATTGGTTAGCTAATCCATGTTAGGATTGGTTAGTTAAATTTTAGTAGAATGATTGGTTAAGGTATAGCTAAGAATATTACTATATAAATTAGGGGCAAACAGGAAGTAAGTTGGGATTTGAAAATAAGGAAAAAGGAACTTGTATTTAGCTTGCTGGAAGTTCACCCCAATAAACATCGAATTGTTTGCACCTTCGGACTTCGGGTATTGTTGCTCTCTGTTCATGCGAGAAGAACCAGGGAAGTGGGAGAGTGAAGGAATAAGCTCTCTAACAGTTATTATTGCATAATATTGCAGTGCATGACACGCAAGGTTCACTGTAATGCTGGGCTACGCCATGCACTGTCTGGAATCATCCTATTTATCTGGTATTGAAAACATTCACTGGACACTAAGCTGCTGTGGAAACGTCTGTACAAGCCTCTCACTGCCTCCAATAATATGCTGACAGAGACAGCCGTCTCATTACCTACCGCTGGCCCATAGTTATGATATGTGACGTTTTTTCTCAGCACTGTCAGGGATAATCCGTCCTGGAGAAAATGGTCAGGATATCCACTGGGACTCCAGTCTTTTGGCAGAAACGAAAATGCGCTTCAGAAAATGGTACTCCCCGTTCAAAAGAGCATGACCTCAAGCGGTCAACTAGTCCAGTCCCCTGCTCCAAGATGAACAATGGACTTTCAGAGATGAAAATGTGTAGGGAACCTGTTAGGTTCTTTGAGGGCTGCACAAAGGCACCAGGAGCTGCCACATAAGAGCCTGATTTTCAGAAGCGCTGCGCACCCATGACTCCAACTGAGATTGAGGGGAGCTGAGTGAGCTCAGCATCTCTTAAAATCAGGCTTTAAAAGGTTTTAATTTTACTCCAGCTACCAGCTGATCTCTGAACAAGTGTGTCGTGTGTGAATTGTAAAACACTTTGTAAGCTTATTTCAACTGTAAGCTCTTTGGGCCAGGGACAGTCTTTGCTCTGTTTGTGCAGTGACTAGCACACTGGGGCACTGGCCCGAGCCTGGGGCTACTAGGTACACCTAATAAAAATAATAATGAAGATTCACCGTTGTGTAAGAGTGGGATTGGGAGAATTTTGACAGCCCTGGTGACTCACAGAGAGCCACTGAAAATTGTGTCTTACTGGATTTTAAAATGTTTTAAATTAACAATAATAATAATTTTAAAAGAGGCAATTAAGGTTAGGATTTTCAAAGGGGCTTAAGAGAGTTAGGTGCCCAAGTGCCATTTAAATTCAATGGGAGTTGAATGCCTGACTCCTCTGAGTTCCTGTAAAACACTTAGCTTAAGCGTTCTTGAAAATGATAGGCAAAGAGCTTTGACTGAAGCCAAATATACACCACACTGATACTGCTCAAGCTTCCCCACGCGAGGAAATGCATCTCAGTCCTGACTCGCAGCACCCCTGTTATCTCTGTCCCTTGCCCGAACACAGACTGGGGAGTTTTCCAATTAAAAGGTTGGAATTGTAAACAAATATCCCCATGGACTTGGCAGAGCTCAAACTCAGTTTTCACGGGTTGCTGGATGGGAAACTCTGTCTATAAGGCCTTTAGGTACCACTGTGCCACCTAAGGTACTTTTTCAGCATTGCACTTTCAGCATTCATTGGGCATGAACAGCCAGCATGAATGGATTTGGGATTTTCAATGGCAGATCTCAATCCTCCTCCCTATTCCTCTCTCCACAGGAGGGTAGTGTTCCATGAACAGGAGGTATGCACATGCTGGAAACATTTACAATATGCAACATGGAAGTAACTCTGGGAAAATGAATTTAAATAGGGTAGGCTCACATACAGCAGCGTGTTGAGTATTGATGCGAATGGAGTTACTCCAATGCCTCCAGCCACACAGAGGCTAACTTCATAATTCAAGGATTCTTCAGAGGGGCTCCCGAAAGGACCGTCTATGTATAGCCTGCAGAAAAAGCAGAAATACTTTTCAACAAACACATTACAATACAATACAATACAAAGGGTGCAATGAATTTAAAGCTGATACAGAAACAATTTAAGTTAAATATTATTTCTGGGACTCAGAAGATGAAAGCTTTCCCTGGGAAAGTGCGTGTGGTGGAGGCTGTAGAGAGGAACCTAGGTCAAGACTGCACAAAAACCTAGGTATACCAAATCTCTAGAGACTCTGCATGATTACATGTGATGGCACATTTCTCAATGATGTGGACAGAGAGGGCCAAACTATGGCTGCCCTTGCTACAGTGAAGACCGTAACAACTTGGCTGGTTGTGCTGGGGAAAGCAAGAAGCACTGCCTTGCATTGCCCAGTAGGCTAGCAGTCCCAGAGGAGGCCTGCTTCCTGAACATCAGGCATGGCTGAGATGGCTAAACTGCCTACTCCACATTTTCGTAAGTGTAGCAAGATCCACTCCCCTGCAACCTTCCCCTCGTGTCCCATTATACTTTACATGGGCATAATGACTCCAGGGAACATAAGGGTGATATTGCACATCCTGCTCATGCCCTGGAAGAGGCATAAATTAGCACAAATGACACAGTAACAGACTATAAAAGGATGACTGAATGATCAAGAATGGCAACAGGGCATGATACCTCTAGCATTTCCATTTTAAAAAATAAAATAAAAAGGGAATTTCAATAGGAAGTCTTCACTTAGGGTAACATTTTCAAAAGTACCTATGTGATTGGGAGCCTAAGTCTCATTTTCAAAAGTCACTGAAGCACTGAGAAGCTAAGTCTCATCAAAAGTCAATGGAACGTACGTGCCTAAGCCACTAAATCACTTCTGAAATGGGATTTTGGCATTTTTAAAAATGTTACCTCTAATTCTCAGAGGCAACTTTGAAAATCCCAGCCCCAGTCATTAGAAGAATTATAGACAACTCTATAAAATGTGTTGAACAATTTCACATAAATCAAGGTTATCTTTTTATTAATATAGTAAGGATTTGATGCAGTTTTAACCAGAAGTACTAAGAAAAGGAGTACTTGTGGCACCTTAGAGATTAGAGACGAATAAATTTATTTGAGCATAAGCTTTCGTGAGCTTATGCTCAAATAAATGTGTTAATCTCTAAGGTGCCACAAGTACTCCTGTTCTTTTTGCAGATACAGACTAACACAGCTGCTACTCTGAAACCAGAAGTACTAAGTATCAGAATAGATGGACTTACACAAAAAAGAGCTAGGACTCTGTTTCTCCATTGCATTACACTTGCTGTAGCTATTTACACTTGTGCAAAGCAAGCATAAAACACCACCATTTTGATGGGCTCAGGTGTAAAGGTAGTGGAGAATTGAGCCCCAATAGTCCCAGAATATCCCATATAGGCAGCATCTGGGTGTTCAGCTAAATATATTATTCATATGACAATGATTTAGGAAAAAAGGTTACCTTATTTGTCCCAGAACAAACATTCTACCCCAAACTGGTCAGACTTTATACTGAGGTCCCATTTAAAAAATAGTTTATAAAGTGTTATTAGATAATTCCTAGCTATTTTAATGGTTACTCAGTTGTTATAGTTATTAAATCCCCAGTCAACAGGTAGCTTATAACCATAGGTTGTAAACATCTATAACATCTTCTAGTGAAGTGCATATGACCCCTACTATGCATCTCTCTGACATGCTTATAGCAGCTATTCATCATTTATTAATCATTTAGAAACCATTTATGAATGCAACCTTAATATTAAAAGTGACTGTGAAAACTATTAGTTTGATGTGATTGATTTTTAGTGCAATTGCATGCAAAATGAAACCAACATATTAAATGTTTAACTTCATCATTTTCAGTAAAGTTCTATAATTTCTCTCCATACCCCAGAATTCACCATTTATAATGTTTAGTGTTTCATTTACCCTCATATATGCCTCTCATTATACCTCCATAATTGCTTTTGCCATTGCACAAAACAAAGGTGCAACAATATCAGAAGTACTGCCAATCTCCCCTCTTTACCTGGTTGAATCTTCTCAAATTAGCAACTGATCCTTCTATAACCTGGCTAGATTTCTTTTTTAAAGTCTTGGGGCTATTACATTACTGATCCTATTAATGACATCATAAATACCTTTATGAAATCCCAGTGCTAGTCAAAGCAGGTCCCCAGACAGCACAGTGATGAGCATGGCAAAAAACAGATTAGGTAGAAATATGGACAGATAAAAAATGGTTACTTACTTCCGCGTAACTGTTGTTCTTCGGGATGTGTTGTTCACGTCCATTCCACACTGGGTGTGCGCATGCCGTGTGCATGAGCGTCGGAAACTTTTTCCCTTAGCGGCTCCCCTCGGGCCAGCGGGCCCCCGAGTGGCACCACTGCGCCGTGCATATATACCCCCGCCGGCCCGACCCCCTCCAGTTCATTCTTGCCGGCGACTCCGACAGAGGGGTAGGAGGGTGGGTGGTGGAATGGACGTGAACAACACATCTCAAAGAACAACAGTTACGAGAAACTAAGTAACCGTTTTTTCTTCTTCGAGTGCTTGTTTACGTCCATTCCACATTAGGTGAATTACAAGCTTACCTCTGGAGGAGGGTAGGAGTCACGGAACAACTGCTCGGAGGAGCGCTCTGCCAACTGCCGTGTCCTCTCTGGCCTGCTGGTTCACCGCATAGTGGGTTGTGAAGTGCACCGAGGACCAGGTGGCTGCTCTGCAGATCTCCTGGATCGGGACCTGCGCCAGGAACGCCGTGGAAGTCGCAAGCGCTCTGGTCGAGTGGGCCATGACCGCCGGGGCCGGAACACCTGCGAGCTCATAGCACGCCTGGATGCAGCTTGTAATCCAAGACGAAATCCGCTGCGCCGACACTGGGAGGCCTTTTATCCTCTCGGCCACAGCCACAAACAGCTGCACGGATTTGCGAAAGGGCTTGGTGCGCTCCAAATAGAATGCCAGCACTCAACGCACATCCAGGGTGTGCAAGCTGTGGTGACTCGGGTCCGTATGGGGTTTCGGGAAGAACACCGGCAGACAAATGCCCTGGCCCAAATGGAATTGGGAGACCAGCTTAGGGAGGAACTTGGGGTGCAGCCGGAGCTGCATCTTGTCCTTGTGAAATACTGTATACAGTGGCTCAGAGGTGAGGGCCCTCAGTTCGAACACAACTTCTGGCCGAGGTAATGGCAACCAGAAATGCCACCTTCCAGGGAAAGGTGGAGGAGAGAACAGGTAGCGAGGGACTCGAAAGGGGGTCCCATGAGTTTAGAAAGGACCAGGTTAAGGTTCCATGGAGGGACTGGGGGGGGGGCGGGAGGACGGGAACACCCTCTCCAACCCTTTAAGGAACCATCCCACCATTGGGTGGGAAAACACCGAGCCCCCGAGAACCCTGGATGGCAGGACTACCGGGGCCTCCACCGACAGTTATAGGAGTGATGTGTACCAGTGCTGGCGGGCCCAGGCTGGGGCAATGAGGATCACCGCTGCCCTGTCCCTGCACACCTGGCTGTTGTCATTGGAAACTGGTGCAGGGAGGCCACCGCTTGTTGGATAGCCTGGAATCGGGATACCAGAAAGTTTGCCCTGGCCTGCATCGCGTCCAGGACTGCCCCATGAATTCCACCCTCTGCGTGGGTACGAGCGTGGACTTGGGGACGTTGACCAGGAGCCCCAGCTCGTGGAACAATCTCAGGGCCACCTCCACATGGCCCCGCACCTCCGCCTTGGATCGGCCCGCCAGGACTAGTCGTCGAGGTACGAGTACACCCGGATTCTCAGCCTCCGTAAGAAGGCCGCCACCACCGCCATGCACTTCGTGAACACCCTTGGGGCCGCGGATAGACCGAACGGGAGAACCGCAAACTGGTAATGTTCTTGGCCCACGGTGAAGCGTAGGAACCGCCGATGTGCTGGGAAGATGGCAATATGAACATACGCGTCCTTCATGTTGAGGGCGGCGTACCAGTCCCCCGGATCCAGGGAAGGGATGATGGTGCCCAGAGAGACCATGCAGAACCGGGCTTTGACCAGGAACTTTGACCAGGTCTAGGATGGGGAAAAGGCCCCCTTTGGCCTTGGGGGTGAGGAAGTACTGGGAGTAGAACCCCTTTCCCCTTAGGCCGTGTGGCACCGCCTCTACCGCCCCCGCCTCTAGCAGCGAGCGGACTTCCTTCTCTAGGAGATGCTTGTGAGAGGGGTCCCTGAAGAGGGACGGGGAAGGCGGGGGGTAGGGTGGGGAGGGGGAGAGAGGCAAACTGCAGCGAGTACCCTTTCCGCACCATGTGTAAGACCCAATGGTCTGACGTAATGGTGGACCATGCACGGGAGAAACGGAACAGGTGGTCCAGGAAATAAAGGGATGGATCTGGTGACTGGTCTGGTACGCTGTCCTCGAGCGCACCTTCAAAAGCCTGGCTTAGTGCCCGGCTGGGGTTTGTGCTGGCCTTGGTTCTGGCCTGGTGCATTATTGTTATTATTGTTGCGCCATCGCCTGTTATCCCTGTCTCGCCTATGGTAAGGCTCATGCCTATGGCGAGGCTGGTACTGGTGTTGAGGGGGACGCTGCGGCTTAAAGGGCTTCCTCTGGGTCGCCGGGGTGTGCATACCCAGCGACTTGAGCATAGCTCGCGAGTCCTTGAGGCTATGCAGCCTTGCATCTGTCTGGTCCGAAAAGAGCCCGGACCCTTCGAAGGGGAGGTCCTGGAGTGTATTCTGGACCTCGGGGGGAAGGCCTGATTCCTGGAGCCACGCTGAGCGCCTGACCACTCCTGATGCGACTGTTCTTAGCTGCCGTGTCTGCCGAATCTAGGGAGGCCTGGAGAGAGGTCTTGGCTACTGCCTTGTCCTCGTCCACCAGGGCAGTGAACTCCTGTTGGGAACCTTGTGGAAGGTTGTCCTTAAACTTTCCCACCGCCGCCCAGGAGTTGAAATTGTGCCTGTTGAGGATGGCCTGCTGGTTCGCAATCCTCAACTGAAGACCCCAGATGAGTA